TTGAAACATCAGTAAATTGTAGACATATTCAAAGATTTTGCAAATATAACATGGATGTACATCAGCTTCTTTAAACAGATTCCCATAAAGTAGGCTATCAAATTGCTTGCTCCAATATTATCAACATTGAATTTTTTATATTAAAATATATGCTAAGTGACTAGCTTTAGTTCACCATTAAATTCTACACTGGTATGAATCAATCTTATGCTGACCTTGGACAAACACTTAAACTTTTTCCTACCATGCTGAAGTCATAATTTGAGGAAGAAATCTTTGTTGCATTTGTTAAACTTCCTCTATTTGTCATTTGCATATTCCATGCTCAAACTAAAAGATTCACCCCATTTCATAGTTTGATTAAATACTAGTTTTTACTCATAAATTTTCAATCTTCTCCATTCTGAATTGGCACCAATTGCATGTTTACATTTTAATTATTTATCATACTTTGGAATTGATTTTTCTTTAAGTGGTCTATCTCTTTCATAATTTTCTGCTGTTCTGCATTATTATCTGACAAAATTGGTCTCTCATCTATTTAAGTTATTAGCTCACTATCCCTAGCAACCTCTTTACAATTAGTTTTTTTTTAATATCCATCACACCTTTGGATGTGGAGTAAGAAGCTCAGTAGTTTGGTTATCTTCTGAATCACTTTCATGTTCTCCAGGATATAGTATTAAATGAAATAGATACACTCTTCTATATGTCACTCCATATTTAATAAACAGTTGTTCCTACTCCTAGCCTATAACAGTTCATGAACTGAGCCAATGATCACACACATTTCTTTTATTAAGAACTATAGAATTAGAATAACAATAATGACTTTTCAAGACCTGCACATGAAGAACTCTTTTCTGGTAGCATGCATAGAATTGAGGCTACTTGCTACAATTTCCCTTGTGGAAAATACCTCCAAGAGAAGGAATTTAACTAAATAATAGATGAAAGGAAGGCAGGTTGAAATTTCTTGTTAAAAAAAAACAAAAACACAGGTTTATTTGGACTATATCCATGAATGCAATGAAGTGTATTCTTGGTTCTTCTGGACCATGCTAATGGCATTACAAAAGTGCATACTATATCTTTAATTTCCTTTATCATTTCTCCAAGTGTACCACTTTGTCTTTCATTTAGGCTATTGCACCAAACATTGAGCAGCAACATTCAAGTTCTATGCCATGTCATGAAATGACTGGTTATTAAATTCCCTGTCAAAAAGGAATCTGGAGCTACAAAATATACTATTCAATATTTGAAGTTGTACTAAAGCTATAATTTTTCCCTACTATAAAACCATAGTCTAGCACTATAACCAGTTCCATCATTTCCATGATATCATACTTTGTCTTCAGTCACTTTAATGCCTATTGCTAATGTTGCTTTAAAAGAAGATCCTGGTGAAAATCCTACAAGTTTGAGTTTACTTTTCTTACATTTGATACATTTTTCACCAAAATTAAAAAGTTTCTGGAATATTTTCATAAATTCAGCATCTTTGACTAGATAACTTTTTGCTACAAGGATAATGATATAACTGCCATTTTTATCTTTGCTGATGGGCTGCATTTTCTGTAACAATCATTTTTGCCAAAGGTCTAATCAGAAGATCACAATAATAACCAGATTAAGTGTATCAGTACCATATCATTTTCAAAGTTTAAATGTTTTGTCTTTTTTTTTTGTGGCAGCTCTGTTAAGTAATATTGGAATTTCTGAGTTTATAACTACTTTAATGATATCATCACTGATATCCACAATATGAGTGGATAGAGTAACATTGTGTAATGACTAACCTATCATTAAATTTATGGATTCTCTTTCATTCCCAGAATTTGATTTGAAATGGTTTCCAAAAAAATATTAATACTATTTTATCCTGCCAACAATTACAGAAGCACTACTGCTCAAGATTACTTAACCTGTCACACACAAAAATCTAAGATCAATATGATTCCATTTTTTGTTGATTCATTAATCTTAGCCACATTATAATTTGGTCTTATATTCTGTGTAAGTAGCATAAGGATAATTTCTAACCCATTAGAGCATGCAGCCACATAACATGATACTTTGAGGTTGTATTATCAGGTCCTGTCAAATTCAACTTTTTTGCTTAAAGAACATGTCTAGTTTCTATATTACATTTTTCTACCTTGAATGTCCCTATATCAACTATTTGAATTCTATAAAAAGTCATTTACTTGACCAACAACTATAATTCTCCAGAGTCTCTATTTTCAGACCCAGATACACTTTCATAAAATGCTACATCTTTTGAGTACAACTACTGAAGTTTTGTATTCAGATGATACTTTGGCAGCATATACTCTCATGACTTTACTTAGCTGGTTAGACACTGTTGCAAAATGTTATAAAGTGTGACTAACTTTAAAAACACAGTCCCACAAATATTTTCATGCATTCAAATACTTTTCATCTCAATTGTATATATCCTTCAATTTATAGATATTTCATCAAGATACAATCCATCTTAAATCTAAAAACGGCAGATATATATACTACCTCTATACTCACATAGTACTTGTAAAATATGGCAGAAGTGCTGATCCAAGTATCTGTGTATGCTACCTTGAATCCAAGTATTGCTTCCTGACTAGGATCAGAATTGTAGCATCTGTGGTGCTGTGTGCTCTGGGAAAAGAGTACTTACACAAACACACAAAATATAGTCATCAACTACCTATATACTTATTACCATATAACAGAATTGAGAAAAGCAAGGTAGAGGAGTAAGGAGAAAGTTAGAAGGGAAGAAAGCTGGAGAAAAAAACAGCAAGGAAAGCCGAGAATAGATGAAGATTAAAGACTTTGTCTTCTGCTTTTATTTTTGATCTTTTTAAAATGGATAAAGCTTTGATATTTTTCTTTTGGATTGTGACACATTACTTAGGAAGGCAGGCACATACAATATATAGATATGTATTGTATATTACAGATACAGGTTTTAAATGTATGAAAAAGGTTTTAAATAAGTTAAAATAAATAGATGTTGAAAGTACAACAAATACCTTTAACATACATCTGTATTTTTAAAACATGTAAAATACAATTGTATCAATATTTGGTAACAGATAAAAAAAAATAGTCTAATATACTCTGTTAGATAAACTTGAAGTTGTAAACATACAACGTAACCCTCACCCAAGCTTTCTACCAACTAGCCAATGATTACTCCACATTGTGTCTATTCTTATTCAAATCAGTGTGCACCGAAAACTGGGAAAGGATTCACTGCACATTCACAAAGTAACAGTAGTTTAAAAAAAAAAAAAATGCTGTATGCATATATGAACCCTGTTTTCAATAGTATATTTAAATGTTTTATGCAGTGAAGCTCACCTGGGTGGATAAGTGAGTGACACTTGGGACAAAAACTGCTCTGTTGATCTAATTATTTATTTTCTTTCTTTTTTTTTTGTTTAAATCAATTCACCCTAAAGAAGGTGATAATGCCACTAAGAAGCAAGGGGTTACTGGAAGTGAGAAGGAACTGGAAACCTAATCCTAAACAGGAAACAAGGAACAAACCTCTACTCTTGTAAATATACTCATAAATTAGCTCTTTCCCCCTACCAACTCCTCACCCATCTACACATCCCTATGTGTGGCTGGCAAAACAAATTGGTGGCATAGTCTATCTCCTGTGCAGGACAAACCATAATTTGGTTACTACCCCATCACATGACTATTAATAGAGACCACAATTGCTGGAACTAACTAATATGCAGTTTGTTGTCATTTGACTTCAACTACTTTCCTTTAACTGCTCGTTCAGTCAAGTAAAAACAAATTCAAAAATTCCATATACTAGCCATAAAATGGAAACTCTTGAGATCACAACTTTCTCTTCTACATAGGTATCCCAAACACAGTGTTACAAAATAATTCATTTTTGGTAATTGTTCAAATGGAATCAGGTTAAAAGTTACTGATTTAATGTACACAAAAAACTTTAAAAAAAATAAAATTATGCATATAAAAAAAAAAATGTAAGGTTCATTTTCAATGCAAAATCTTTAGTAAAAATGACAAACTTAAAAATATGTAATTGAGTGTATAATGTAAACTTAAAACCCCTGTGAAATCTAGCAAAATTCAACAGAAAATATAATTTTCAAACTGATTTTTCTTCATATATCCTGGTAATTATTAAATTATTATGTTAAAATGGTTTGTTGCAATACGTTTTTATTTCAGTTGTTTTGAAGTTTATTTGTACATAGTCTATTTATTGTTATAAGTCTTTTGAGCATTTTAAAACTTTGGGAAATATATTACTGTAACATGAACTAGTCATCTAATTATTAAATGCAGTTGGTAATGATGAAAGATAACCAAAACTAATTAAAATCAAAATTCTAGTATTCAGACTAACATTAAGAAGTATTTTCGAAATATCTTGTTATAAATAATTATAACTTCGGAACAATCTATTATAAAAAACACTGCTCGAGAGAAATTGAAATTCAGGACATTTTTATCAATAACTTTAAACCTTCAGTTGACTTGTAATCTGAAAAATTACACTATCTTAATATAATATAGACATGTCCTTTATCATTTCTAATTATGAAATTTCTGAAAATCAGGATTCTACTATTATGTTCTGTAGCAAATTGCTGAAGAAATTTCACTTTGCTTTCAAGCAAGAGCTATATTATATTTTTTGTTTGGAATTGACATTGATTGCTCTAAATACTGTTTTAAAGTTATAATAAAATTAAAGAATGCTTCAAATTGTGTAATTCAGCCAAAGATATGTTTCTATTTAATATTGTCTTTTTCCTAAAGGACATTTAATCATTAGTTATCTTATGAATTTAAAATAAATCTAGTTCTTCTGACAATCTCTAAATACTATTACTTTTTTCCCAAAACACTAGAAATATTATTGCTTTTCTATCTTCAATGAAACTTATATTTTCCTTTGTATTTTAATTCAATTTTATTTTTCTTGAATTGTTTTCTAGGCAAAACCACAGTGAAATTGAAAAACGTCGCCGTGATAAAATGAATTCCTATATCACAGAGCTGTCATCCATGATTCCAATGTGCAATGCTATGAACAGGAAACTGGACAAGCTAACTGTATTACGAATGGCTGTGCAACATATGAAAGCTTTGCGAGGTAAATTGCATTACATTCCTATATATTTTTCTCTATCTTTCTCTAAATATAAATGTTGCAAGTGTAAAAATATATTTTGAAAGATTTTTTATATTAGTAACTGTTTTATCATAAATTATTAGATAACATTTCATGAATGAAAATGATTACTCTGACTCCAACAATTGCAACTGAGAAAAGATAAAATACAAGAATTCACCAAAATTTATTGAACTTATTTAAGGTAGTATTCATAAATATGTCTTAAACTAGAGTATTCATTAAGAGAAGAGCACAAGAGAAAAATAGTAAAAAAAAACAAAAAAAAAAAAAAACATTCAAGCATTTCTTTTTGTAGTAATACAGATTATTTGAAAAATGCAAATATTAAAATACTGAACAACATTTTAATGAATATAAGTGCTACCCACAGCACAATAACATAACTTCCCTGTGCCTTTTTCTATAAATATTTTCATTGTTCTTATGAGATTTCCTCTTTGGCAACTTCATGAATTTAAGCATTGAACTAGATTAGCAATTAGGTTTCATCATTTTACTTTTGGAATTGCTAGATGTACCCATAAGTCCTATTCAAATAATTTCTTTTCACTTGCATGCTTTGCCTGTGGAACTCTTCTAGGTTATTGCTTTACTGTCAACAACCATCTTCAAAAATCTTTCTGAATTGTCTTTTTGAATCCTGTTCTCTTATTGCCCTTTCTATTCAATAACATTTTCTCAGTTTCTTACTCTCTCAGTAATCAATAACCCCCTCCCCCTTGGAGTAAAATGATAAAAAGAAAAAGAGAAGAGCTAAACTGTGTACAATCAATATTCTTACATACATAATCAATGTGAGTTCATATAGAAAATTTTATGAAACAAGCAATATAGAGATATTTTCCAATGAAAGAGATATAAATCCAAAATATAGATTGTTTTGAATTTTTTTCATTCTATCTCCAATAAAGAACAATGCAACCAACCCCTCAACAAAGGTGCCAAAATTTTACTTGGAGCATGCTAAAGGTTAAGGGAGAATTTTGGTGCACTACAGTTTAAATAATGGCGAGAATGAATTCATGGTTTTCAATAGCAATGCCAATTGTAAAACAAGTGACTTTGTTTTACTTTTTATTTACTTACTTTTTTGTGGCACTTTTTTCTTTAATAATGCTTCATCTAATAGTAAAATTCATGATAATATTAATACTAGTATGAAAACCAATTATCAATGAACAAATAACAAGTTTATGGCGTTAGATCTGATCTGTAACTATTGGCTTTCATAGGCCAAATAATGAACTAGTCACAATAAGACATTTGAAGGGAAAAGGTATGCCAGTTTGTGCCTTATCCAAAGACTGTTTTTCATTTCTGATAATGATTTGAATAGTTACAATAAAAAGGAATTGAAATTAAAACCACAGAAATACAAGTTAACAAGGTTTCATTTAATAATAATGAAATTCAAGATAAAGTCATATCACTGACAAAAATAAAATGATCGGAATTGATATTTTATAAGTTTCTATTTGAATTTATAATTATTACATACATACATATATATATATATGTATATATATATATATACATACATACAAACCAGCAAAAATGAATGAGAAAATCTAACTGCTTACTCACAAAAAAGGGAAAAATATAATTCAAACTTGTCTCAAAATAAAATTGTTTTGAGAAATTTTCATGAGTACATTAAGATAAGTAGAAGCTTATGAAGAAACAAACAAAAAATAATTCACTGTTCATACTTTGGCAACTATTTAAAAAAATAATAATTTAAAAGTTTCTTTAAGTAGAAAAATAATTAGAACCACATAAAAGTTAATTTCATATTAACTTTTTTTTTCTTTTTAAGTACTGGGAGTATTTTCACTCTTTTTTGACACAAAATCTGACAATGTTTCCTGTAGTTTGTAGTGGACCCCCTGGAGTGGGCATGATATAAAATGGCCTGTGCACCCAAATAAAGATAGTCGCAGGAGGCCTGATAATGTTTATAAATTAAAGATGTGATATCTGTGTAGTTTAGGAATCTTGTGAGCAGGTCCATTAACACCAATGGACCAAGTGATATAGGTTGAGATAATGATACTGGAAGTAGGGACCAATGAGTAGCCGAAGGTAGTGAAGGTTATGAATGCCATAAGTAAGGGTCAGAAGTAGCCAGAAGTTGTAAAGATCAAGAATGCCAGAAGTAAAAGGTAAATAAGAAAGCCTAACTAGCTTCCAGTTGGCAGACAAAAATAAATGGGAATGTAAAAATGGCCAGGGTGCTGCATTTCTCCTCCTCTGCCTGGGTTCTATGAGAAGTCACCGGATTATATGGAAAGGGAGTGTAAATACTAACTGGTCCTGTAAAGTACTAAAAATCTCAAGAAAAATAAACTGAGAAGTGCTACAAAATATAAAAATTATGAAATGTCCACAAAGTGTATTCCGACGAGGTTTGTAACATAGAAAGAACTAAAAAGTCTTGTGAACAAGGGGGTTCATGCCTAATAAATGTAAATCAACTTAAATTGAAGAGAGTGTGGCAACACAATGAAGTCAAGGTCATAGCATCTGCTCCAGTTGATGGAGTAGTGAAGGGCTATGATAAGTTTTAAGCATTTTAAAAAGTAATACATTATCATACTGGTCCCAAGTATGAGTCTTATTTAACAGGTATGAAAAATGTTAAAAAGCCTACAGTACAATTTCTAATATATAAAGGCAAATTAAATAAAAAGTGTATTCATACAAACCTCATCTACATTACCCACTAAAAATAACGTTTATAGTTGTAAGAAATTTTATCTATATATAATATACCACATGTATTTGTATATTTTTTCTTTAATGTTTTAACTTTATCCTGTAATAATTATTTTCCTTACATTGGACAACAGTAAGTGACAGTATCATTGTTATGACAATGTTAGACTATTCTAAGATGTTTATGAAACTAGGGGTGTAAAGAATATCTCCATAAAAGAGAACAGTAAAACAACAACAACTGGAAAAATATTTAAAGACTCACCTGTGAAAACCTAATAATAGACTTCACAAAATCTCAATTTTATATATGCTCACATTTTTCATTGAAGGAGAAAACATTTCAATATTTAATTTATCTAACTAAACTTCAAATGAAACTGCCTTAAAACAATAAATTGTTTACAGTTTTAAATAATACCATTTCACAGATAATTGATAAGAAGAGCAAATCACTATGATCATTTACTTAGCTCGGCTATGTCACTAGGCTCTCTGTACTTTGGGGAAAAATACCCACTCACTCAGCTGGTACTTGCATGCTTAAGATCAAATGTTTGTCATGATTTCATAGACACTGAAACAAAAGAAGTGGTATTTAACATTATAACAAGAAAGCATGGTTTTTATTAAGATAATTGAAGAAGCATAACAATTTTTATTTCAAGCCTACAAAAGAGATGTTGTACAAAGAGTACAGTATGTCATTGAAGAACAAACTGTGCAGAAAATCCAAGGGGGCAAGAGATTTTGTAAAATTTCTGACTCCAAAAATTAGCAAAGAGGCATCAGTTGTGATCAGAGCTATTATGTTGGTAGAGTCAGTAAAAGGGATTCCAGTGGGCTATAGCAGCTGAATAGGTAGGTGTGAACCAAGATTGTGGTTTAATATGTTACAAAAAAACCTTGATACCAGGCACAATTTTAAGTAGGAAAACTAAAGATTTCACTCCAAGAAGCATAGTGAAGAAAATTGGTATGCTGGTAGTAGAAAGAAATCTTGTGAATAGGGGGCTCATGCCTAATAGATGAGTTAAAGGAAATATCAACAAATACAGCATGATCCAAAGTGCCAATAGGACAGAGATGTAGTGCACAAAAACTTATAAAATTGATATGAATATCAACAAAATAACATTAAGAGTAATCAATAAAATGATAACATTGTAAATTTTGCCTCATGTCTAATTTTACTAAAAAAAATATTTAATTTCATTTATTCTTTAACATTACTTTTTAAATTTGTTGTTCTATTCTTTTATGTAGGTGCAAATCGTACACACACAGAAGTCAGTCAGAAGCCAGCATTTCTTTCAGATGAGGAGCTTAAGCATTTGATTCTTGAGGTAAACATATCTCATTCCTTTTAAATTTTTAAAAATTCTGATTGTGGTATTTTTTCTTAATATACTCTTTAAAAAGTCAAAATTACAAAATCCATTTTCTTTTGTGACAATAGTAGGCATCGTCATCAGAACTGTCCAGCACAAGAAGCTACACATAACAGATGTGGAAAAAAGTGTCACTTTACAAAAGTTTATTGTCCACCCAGGCCTAGAACATTCAGTGGACTTTAGTCTCCAAATCTTGCTGTCATGGTAGCTACCTCAAAAAATTTTACTTCCTGCTACAAACTGAATTAAATCGGAAAAGGGTCAAAGATGGATATGGGTAATTCTGAAAGTTTTCTTTGCCATTCCCTTATTCAGAGGCTACATTTTCACACACATATCCAGGTACTTCTGTCTACTGTGTGGTGAATGTAGAATTGAAGGGATGTCAATACAATAGTATGAAGCTGTCTGATTTGTGTACTAATGTCATCTTTAGACAAGACATCAGAGCATCTGTGCAAATTTCAATGGAGAAAAACCTCATTTAAATGTGTGTAAATTAGCTCACTTTTCTGTTTACTCTCTTCAGCTTCCTGCTCATCTTATCAATGATGATAGCTTCTCAGTCAAAGTTCTCCAGATAAACAATTTATTGCAACTGAAGTGAAAAGGCAACTTGCAGAAGGTATAACTGAGCCAAGCATTTCACTTTGACAAACTCAAGCTGTACTTTTACTGAGCCAAACAGGAAAATGAATGGTAGTCAATTACTATCAGACTGAACTGTTTCACTTTTAGATGCTTACTCTCACTACCAAGCATTCATGTACAGATGGCACAATATTGATTCTTTAGTACAGCTAGCATGATATCTGACTACCATCAAATTTTGATACTTGATGAAAAAACTTACAATGCTTTTAAGGCCTGTGGTTTAACTAAACCAGTTCTGCCAGATTCCACTTGGAATAACTCATGGAATTGTCTGCTTTCAATGCTGTGATGAGGTGGATGGTAACCCACTCATGCAGAATAATGCAGAAACCCATGGAGACAGTGATTGAAAAACAGAGTGAAACATAAAAGGCAGAAATTTAAATGTAGAAAGGCCTGGTTTCATAATGTTAATGTGAGAGAAGTTTTGATTTCATTTTATGAATATTAGAATTAAATGCAGAAAGAGAAATAATCAAGTAAGTTCATTAGTTTTGAGAAGTTAAAGGAGTTTAGATGTTCTTAAAAAAAAGAAAAACTTATATATTAACTTGGAGATAACTTGTACCTATCTGCTACATTCACCAAGTGAAAGAAAACTAGTTTTGCATGGCTTACAATGTTTCAGCTCTAATTACAGTATTCTTCAGATCTTATCTGAACACAATGTGGGTAGAGAAGTCTGTCAAGGACATTGCTAGATCATTGACTGGTATAACTGGCTAATACTTTCTTGCAATGTGAAGAAGGATTCTAAACTCTGAAGTTACCCCTGAAATACAGTGTGTACTGCTATATTTAGTGACCAGAATAATGAGCCCATCCTCGGTTATAATGTTACAATGCAACAGACAAATTCATCATCTGATATGTTTTCTTACCTAGACAATTGCAAAAATGTAAGAAAGAACATGAAATTATGTTGAGAGTTACAAGAGCTGATGAAATGTTTTACTTGACCTCTAGTCATAAATCCAGATCCTCTATGACTTGCATGGACCACTTTATACTATTTCTGAAGGTAAAATTAAACCAGATCTTGAAAGACTTCAACTACTAAAAGAGCTTCCTTTCCTTAGGACATGAATTCACTATGATAGGTATGTTCCCATAATATTACAACTACATTACCAATTACTCTGAAAATAGAAAAAAATCTGCTCATCTGGTACATGCCAAAGTATTTTCACTATACAAGATAGCATGTAATTGCTTGAAAACTGAAGTAGAAAATGGTGTGGTACATTCTATTGTTGCTACCTTTTCAAGAACATTAAATGCCAGTGAACGAAAACAATCAGCAATAGAAAAGGGTGCATATGCTATAATGAAAGTTCTACTTAACTGGATACCACTTTGCACATTTCACTAATCCAAAATCAGTGGCATTATTATTAAAAATACCTAACTGTAGGTAGCATTTCTGCCATATGCAAATTGAAAAAATATCTAATTACATGAACCAATTTCCCATTAAAATCTTTTTTACCTTCAGAATCATTAAGTTCTAATCTTTGGTTATTTTCAACATTCTGAAATGGTTATCATATGGAGTGCATGTTTAAAGAGCTTTTATGGTTACTGCCTAGTCATTTGACATATTGTCTGAGATAAAACTGTAATTCAAAACAGTAGTTATAACTTCTGTTTAATAATGTACCTGAAATCTATGTTTTCTGTGTCACTGCTTTTATTCCAAGGAAATGGCATTTAGCCCATGTTTTCATATCTTTTGCTTCAGTCCTCTACGTATGGCTCAAATGTCAGCTATTCCTTGTAGCATTTCTGATGACCTTCATGATATACTGACCTATTATTACTTGACTGTTACAATTAGTTAGAATCTTACTGCTGATCTATTCCAAAGATCTTAGTTCTTTGCAAAAGTCATTATTTCTGCCAAATCAACACAGAATCAGTCAAGTGAAAAGCAGAAAACAGCAATTCAATCTGACATTATTTGCAAAAAGAAACTTGTTATTAAGAAGACAAAGAAAACATTTCTATGTGAAGAATGAGCCTACAGAAAATTATTATTACTGCATAATAAGGAATATTTTTCTGATACAATATTTTATTACCTTAGCTTCATCTGGCACAACTCCAAATGAAGAAAAATATATTAAAAAAAAAGATTATGTTGCCCCAATTTCTCAAGTGGAGATTGTATTAGGTCTTCAAAATCAGTATTTGAAACCTTGGTTTTTACCTAAGCTGAAAGCACTGACCACTGCACAATCTCAGTCACAAGGCAGGATCAGGAGACATGACTAGGTATGAAATAAATAGGACAAACTCTTAACATATCAGTAAAGGTTAATTGTGTCTCTTATTGATTGCAGTGGTGACTACAAAACAGGATTTAGATTGAACTTTTGCTAATCCTATAAAGCTTTCTAAATGTCAGTAAGTGGAAACTTGATAAGCAAACCATAAGTTTAATTTCAATTTTTAAATTTCAAAGTAAAATTCACTTTTGTATGTGTAAATTGCAAGTAAAAAAATAGTCCAGTACATTACACTGATTTTTCTCAGTGGTTGAATAAGTTCTTAAATTGTGCGTGTGTGTATATATATATATATATATATATATATAATTTTCTGTTTATGCATTATTTTTATAGATACAATTATTCAAGTAAATGCTCTGTTTATAATAAACAGTATTAACTACATTTACCGGACTGAATGTCTGAGAAATTTCATAGAAAATGTGTCCTCTGACAGGAATTGAACCTGTGTCCTACACGGAACCATCAGTTGATCTAATGTGTTATACCACTCAGCTGCAGAGGAAGTGTCTGGTTAGCAAAATCCAAATTCCTGTTTTTAAACAAACTTCCCACAATCTTTCTCAAATGATCATATCTATTCAAAGTGTATCTTAACATAAACAAATAACAACATATATTATGAAATGAACTAAGTCTGACAATTACTTTAAAATATTTTCTGTTTATATGTTATTTTTATAGATACAAGTGAATGCACTGTTTATAATAAAGAGTATTAATTACATTTACTGGCCTAAATGTCCGAGAAATTCACGCCAGTAAATGTAATTAATACTGTTTATTATAAATAGAGCATTTACTTAAATAATTGTATCTATAAAAATAACGTATAAACAGAAAATATATTAAAACAATTGTCAGGCTTAGACCATTTTCATTATATATATATATATATATATATATATATATATATATATATATATAAACAAATACATATTCTAATCAAGTAGCAAAAAAAAAAAAAGCATCATTTCCTTTTGATTTGCCAAATATATCAGAAAGAAGAAAAACACATCCTATTGCCTATTATCAACTTGCATACTTTGTAGAAAAGAGTATCTATTAATATACTGAATTAAGAATGATAGTGTTTAGCATTAAACTTATTCTAAATTCAAATTGCTCAATTTCTCAGTTATTAACAGTTTTTCTGGAAATAAAAAAAAAGAAGCCAAATTTGTCAATTTAAAATATTCCTTTGTTGTATTCAAACTCCCAGATCAAAAAAAAAATGTTACACACAAATATGCCAAAGCTTTCATGTACAATAAATAAGTACATGAAGTCTACTTTTTCAGTGTTTATTAAATATAAATTAATTATTAAAAGCATAAAACCCTAAAGATTAAGGTCACAAAATACAAACTATCTCATCTAACCTAAAACTTCAACATGAAGAATTTCCATAAAGATGAATTTCATACATGTAAAAAAGCTTACTTGCAGGCAACAAAGTAAAATTAAAAGATAAATAAAAGTAAAGCAGTCCAAATAAATTTTAAAATCAGAACTACTTAATTTCTTTCATTGTAATCTATAAGTATATTCATGCTCAACCTGAAAATCTAACTAAAACTGTTGTTTTTACTTATAGGCTGCTGATGGTTTCCTATTTGTTGTGAGCTGTGATAGAGGCAAAATTTTATATGTCTCCGAGTCAGTAAAAAGAACGTTAAATTTCACACAGGTATGATTTATTGTATTTTACTCTATTTTTAAAAAAAAAGAAAAAAAAAAAAGGAAATTTTTATGATTAAATGAAGTAACATTTTTCTTGTTAGTTGCATGAAATATAATTACATTTGAATATTATTATCAAACTTTATTGCTAACTCTAAATTCCAATTGATTTTAGGGCTTTATATAAGTGTTTATATATTTAATTAAACTTGCAAATTCATAACACAAGTTGCTTGGTTATATTTTATTCATGAACCACTGTTTGGTTTGTCTAAATTTAATGAATCAAGCATAATATAAAAATATTAAGGTTTATCATGAATTCATAGTCTGCAATATATCTGAGAATTTTCCTTGTGTCTTTCTCCTGCCCATTAAAACAATTCTATTTAGTTGTTAAATCTTTCCTTATCACAGATACTTATATTCTCTTATTATATTATGTAATGCACCTGTTTTATTTTTTCTTTGAATTTCCATTTTAAAAACTTCTTATTCCAAAATATCTGATTTCTTAAAAGCAAAAATGGTTGAATTGCTATTGTTTCCTGCTTATGTCTTAAGTGCTTGTTTTACAGAAACATTTTAATTTATTAACAAGAGTATATTGTATACATATATTTTAGTTCAGTGCAATAGATATTGATGCATAGCTTATTTAAGAATAAACATTTATTTATTCATTTTCATTTCTATAGTGAACTATATCAAAATTATAAAGTTACAAAAGTTTCAATGAAGCATAGCAAAGCAAGTTTAGGAAAACCAATGCCTTGTCTTTTATTATCACCAAAAGTGGTAAGTTTTGTTTCAGTTGCACATACTGTTCATAAACATGAAAACTTTGCAATATTTCATCTTCCCATTTTTTTTACTCTATCTGAAACAAAACTTATAAATAAAGAACACTATCCTTGTAACAATGTAAACTGGCATAGTTTTAATCAGTTTAAAAACTTAACATTTTCATGTAAAATTATGAAGAATTCAAATATCAAATATGTAAAGTTAACCAAGAATTTAAATATCAAACAGAACCTTTTCGGCAATTTCGTAATTTCCCATTCCTATATCACAAGATGGATATACAAGAAAACATGTTCAGAAAAATATATATGGAATTTTTAAACCATATTTTTTTTTATTATCTATAGTTTAATTTTGTAAAATATTACATTCATTAATCATTTTGATCAGATTTTTTCAGTAATAATTTTTTTGTTAGGGTTCACAAAAAAATTAAAGTATAGATCCAATGTATTTACAGTAAGACAAAAATATCTCATCTCTTATTATAACAACAACAAGATAGGATTATTTGCAGAGATTTAGTATGATTAATATACTTTGGAACAATAGGGTTAATAGATGCAATTAGGAAAGCCTTGTTCTTGAATCTTTAGCAATATCTGAAATGTTTCCTTTGATACACATCAATCTTTGACAGATTAACTTAAAGTAAATTTGAAATGTAAAAACAATAATCTTAGAATTAAAAAATTTAAATAAGTTCAAGATAAAATGGAATATTTCAGCTGAGAAAATAATTTAAAAGTTTAACTACAAAATAAAATGTTAATATTTGTCTGAATTTCTGGGGTGAGGTGTCATCATTATTTACATTTAGACTTGTCATTATCTTTGTTATTACAATGTTTCAGCATTGTGCCTTCTGGCTTTGTAAATAATGTAAATAAGATGTCAACCTTATTACTCATAATGATCACTTGTAAAAACTATAGTAATATAGTCAAAAGTAAGTAATAAATAAAAAGTTTTTTTTTTCTTTTGAAAAATTAATATTTTTTTAATTTAAAAATAAATTTAAAAAATCCTGATATGAAAACTCATTACAGAAGTATTATTCTTTAATTTCTGAAAGCCTAAAAACATGTTGAACTTAAACATCTGGATTATGAGGTCAGATACAGACTTTTCTTTAAGCAAGAATAAGGTAGGTTAAAAAAAAAAAAAAAAATATCATCACCAATTACTTAAATTTTGTCACAATTTAACCACGGGTATGTTGTGATATAAGCTGGATCCTACAACCTCAACATAGAAGAGAGATTAGCAGTTTGTAAGAGCAAATTTCAGTAAATATATATGGTGACAAAACTGAAAAAATATCTTAAAATCAAGTCATATTTTTTATATTTTAAGTGTTAGTTGTTTGCCTTTTTTCCTCTTTAGGACAGATATCTTCACCTGAAACTAGATTATAAACAAACAGAAAAGTACTACTTGAAATATTTATGGACTCAAAAAATGCATTTTAGAAAAAAAAAATGTCAATAGTTTTATCTTGGTAATACAAATTTTATAAAACTAGAAATTGACCTACCTGTCATTTTTTATTTGAAACTAACTTAAAATTTCAGTACTTCATAAAAAAAATTATTTTATTCCTGTAGAAAAGATACAACCACCAATTCCATTCTAATAGTTTCTTTTCTCTAACTTATCTGAAACTCCCTTCTAATTCCTTGATTCCCTGGTACCTACAATCTTCAAAAATTGAAAAGCAACATCAATTACCATCTTCTGTTGTCATGAATCCTGTTCCTTTATGTGTTTCTGCACTTCTATCTAAAGATTCCTCATTCTCTTTCATTCCCTGTAACCCCCTGTATCCTAGTGGCATTATAACCTTGCTTGTGGTAAAATGATTAAAAACAGGTGTGACATATTGATCCTTTGAAAAATATTTTACAATTTTATTTTATTTTTATAATTCAAGTATTTACAATCTGGTCTACAATTTCAATGAAAAAGACATTATTTTGCTAAATTCTATTTATCCATCATACATACATACATAAAATATAATCTAATATAGCAATAATATAAATAACAATGAGAATAGAATCAAATCATACAAAAATCAAATTACATATTTTGACCTTCTGATAATTATTATAAAAGAGGAGCTGATTCTTTACCCATCACACAATGTGCATGACTTTGCAAGCATACATATAATTTATATGGGTATGTGAATTCAGGTAAAAATGGTACAATTGGAATGAGCGGAAAAAAGCAGCATAATTCTTTTTAATTTTGTAGAAATATTTTTTAAGTTTATCACTGAATTATACATATGCACACACACACACACACATGTATAAATACACACAACTGAATTAAATTTAAAAGATTTGTCTGGGTAACAGGAAAAGAGTATAGCTGAAATTTGCTTCTGTATTTAAACTGAATATATTTTTTAATAAAAGGGAGTATTTTAAAATGGACAAAAATTTACATTTGAAATTTGATCATCTTGCCATCAATGAAGCAACAAGTACTAAACTAGTGATATATAAAAGCTCAAAATTTTTCCTAACATTATCTTTATTCTTACAATTTATAAAGAAATATTTCAAAGAGTTTAAAAAATTTCAGATTGATTTCTATTTAGAAATTTGTGCAGTATGTTTACAAGCTGAAATACTTTTGGAAATTAGCTAAAAGATTAAGAGATGGGGATTTCAAAAGTTAAAATACATATTTGCATATTAATGACTAGCTAACTAGCTCCAGCAAGAAAACTAGACAGATAAAAGTTACCAACTTATTTTGTCCTAATGTACAAGAATTTTTAGAATTAATTTAAATCAGTTATTAATACAAGATGAGAGTAAAACAAATTTACTTTATATATTACATTTTTCACAGTACAAAAACTCAACCAAACAGAAGCTCAAGTTAAAAGGCAATCTGGCAAGCATGTTTGCTAATTCATCATCTCACCAATGATGCTTTTTTTTTTTTAACCTTTTAGTTAAGTAGTTTTAAATAGGAGTTCACAATTTTATGTACTTGAACTAAATATCAAAATATTTTCATATTTTAAGCTTTCTTAAATAAAAGAAAAGTTAGTCATAATCTATGAAACATTTAACATTGTTTATATAATTTACATTTTTATACTATTGCTATAGATGAATGAAACTTAGTTCATTAGATTAAAAAGATAAAACTGCAATTTAAATAAATAAAAACTGAGACTTAGACTATGTATTGTTTTTAAGTTTGATCCAACAAAAATGTCTGTCTTCTATCTTGATTAACATATTGGGTGGAGTTAATATGAAACTCATCCAACTTAGGCTTTGACATTGAATTTAATCCTGATCTCATTAGCCAATAATAAGATCAACCTGATATTCAAATCAAATGTCATTCATGCTTTTTGGCAAAAGCTTAAGGCTAAGACATATTATGCCAAATTGTTTATTTAAATTCATGTACATTTCCAATATGACCAAATGATTGTATAAAAACTTTACTTTTATTCAAGTAAATTTAATAGCCATTATTAAATTTTGTCTTGTTTTTCTTTTATCTTATTTTTGTTGCCTTTTTTTTTTTTTTTGCCATACTAAAATTAGTTTAGATTCTGTGGCCATAAGGTAAACAGCATGGACTAGAAATCAAGACTTATCCTCTGACAAGATTTAAATTTGCTCACAAATTCTTGGGCAATACTTACTGATTAAATGAAAGAAAGGCTTATTCAAGTTTAGTCATATAACTACATTGTTTATACCTAGTAGTAGCAGTATAATGTCATCTCATAAGCAATGTCCAAATTAAGAATATTATATATATATATATATATATATATATATATATATATATATATATATATATATATATACATACACACACACAAAATGTTTGGGTAGCAATACCTCTTTTATACAACTTTCATTAAAAATGAATTAATTATTCTTGTGTTTTTATAATTTTCTTCTTTTCTGGATATAAATTATGTACAAATTGTCCAAATGTTTTGAATGTCCTAGCACTTTCAGCTATACTTCAAGGATGATTTATTTACTTTTAACTGAATGTATGGATTGTTTTATGTATGTATCTAGAGTTATATGAATGTTTTATTTTCCAAACATAGTCAACACATTGTTCATAGTTAATATTATTGAGTGCTGACTTTTACTTTTCTATTAATAATGCTTTCATTATTTTTAGTTTTTTTACATATGGATGAGGCTATTATATTTGTATTATATGGGTATGCTGTGGATAGAGTCCGATAGGTCACCATGTGTATTTAAATGAGATCTTCCTCTTAAAGAATTTCAGGTACAGATTGGTATTCCTAATAATTTAATTGATCCTTAATGGTGCAAATAGATGGTGTGTGTGTGTGTGTGTGTGTGTGTGTGTGTATGTATGTATGTATTGTGCTGCCCCTACTCCCACACATTTCTCAAGATTCCGAGGTCCTTCCATGATGGTATGGAAGCCTGTGTCAGTTTTGGCGGTATACTTACAGGGCCCATCAAGATTGAAAATGGAGTCAAGCAGGGAGATCTGGCTCCTACACTGTTTTCTATCTGCTTTGCAATTGTACTGCCTGATGCATTTGGGGACTGCCATGATGGTATTATGATAAGGTACAGGTCAACTGGCAAGCTTTTCAACATACATGTTTGCAGGAAAGACAAAAGTCTTTTTTAGTTTAATGCAGAACCTTCTCTATGCCAATGACTGTGACTTGGTTGCACACACAATTCAGCATTCACAGGAGTTCATGGATTGAGTATCAGGGTCATGTAAGGCTTTTGGACTGTCCATCAGCCTTGACAAGACAGTAGTGATGTATCAATCTGCCCGAGGAATTCAGTATATAGAGCCATCAATTTATGTTGATGGTAGTTGACTTGGGGTAGTAGGCAAATTTGTATACCTTGGTAGTACCCTCAAACGCCACTGCTCTCTTGATGATGAGATAGCCTTATGGATTAAGAAGGCTTCCAATGCATTTGCAGCACACATATTCCATGTCTGGAGTCAGAAGGACATAAAAAAAGCAAACAAAAATTAAAATATATAATGCCTGCATTATGTCATCTCTGCTATATTCATGTAAGACATGGGTAGTCTATCGCAGAAATCTGAAGATATTGGAACGTTTTCATCAACGATGCCTTTGGTCTGTGCTTGAAATCCATGGAGGTCTCACACTCCTGATACTGTTGTTCTACAAATGGCCAATTCATTCTCTGTGGAAGCAATTATACACAAATACAGATTGCAAGAGACAGGCCACATTATTCATATAACAGATGACAGAATGCTAAAACAATTAATGTATGGAGAATTGGAAATGGAAAAAAGACCAAAGCACAAGCCAAAACTTCATTACAAAGATTGCCTTAAAGAGTCACTATACAAGTGCAATATTGGTCTGGATAACAGGGAGACTCTAGCTGAAGACTGGGTTTCTTGGAGAGCTGGTATTGCTGATCGTATCAAGATCTCCCATGAGGCATCACAAAAATATGCAGAACTGAAGAAACGGGTTCGGAAGGGGTCCCTGAATTGCCATGAGGTGCCAGCCTGGCCTTGTGTCCTATGCAATCGGATATGTCTGTCCAAGGTAGATCTGCTCAGTCACCAGAAATCACACCAACAGTCTGGCACTATGGCATGCTTTGAATGCCCGACCTGCACTAAAGTGTGCAAGTCCAGATTGGGCACATTGTAAGTGATAATGTTCAAAGTCAACTTCCACCACTCGGAGATGATTTGATATGCCACATACGTAACAAGAAATGAAGATCAATGGCTGGCTTTATGAGCCACTGTTGTTCACACAACAAATGAATGCAGTGTTAAAGGGAGGGAGTTTAACCAATGGACTGGACATGTTAGTGATGGTCATACTCACTTCGTGAGTTGACAGCGACTATACTATAAATGTGGGTACATACACATGTTTTGTACAGCATGATTTATTCCACTGGGTGTTTCAGTATTACTTACAGATTTTGGGAATCTTATTTAGATAACTTCAAATTGTTTTGTCTTTAAATCCCCCATCACTTAATAATATAAAAACCCTTATTGTCTAAATACAATTTATTGTCAATTGTATTAAAACATATATGTTGTTGGCATAGTTTGGTATCCCCTAGCAGGAACCTAAATCCATTTACATGCAACTAAAGCCTTTGGTCATAAATAAACTCCCATTCCAGCCCATCTCTCCTTAGAGAGATACCTCACACCCTCCCCTTTTCACCAACCCAGGCTCCTTATCTAAATGAGGCGTCCCTTTGAGTAGGCCTGTACCTTCTTCCCTACCACTATTTAAACTAAATTCAAAACCCCCAATTCTGAGGCAGCCAGTTTAGGGCTGAAAAAGACTGGCATAAGGTTGTGCCAGTTTGAAATAGACTATACCCATTTGGGGTAATTTTAGATTTTTTGCTATATAAAAAAAAATATAATTTTATAGTATGCTATATTTATGGGTATATCAGTGATAGAGTATGTAAATATAAAAGTGGACACTGAGGCCAATATTGAGTGACAAGTGTTTCATGCTTGAATTCAATTGTCATCACTCAGTGTTGCCCTCAGTATTTTCTTCTTGTTCAATTAAAATTTATCAAATCAACAGAAATTCTGTCATTATCAATAATCCCCTTCCAACAATTCACAAACTTCATAATGTTATGGAGGAAAAGAACTTTGAGTAGTCACCACCTCTTCATTTGTTTTAATAAGTAGTCCATGAAGATGGTTCTGTAAACTCCAGAATAAATAGTAATCAAACCATAACAGCACTATTTCGGTTTTCAAACAGAAGTTGGTCATCATAAAACTCAACAGGATGACCTGTTTTTGATACATCTCTTAAAGTGAAGTCACTTTCTTGAAATTCATATCTTATATACTTCACAGATATGTCCATCTTTAGGAGCATCAAGTTAGTAGTTAAATTAGTTGACTCACTGTGGCAACATAATTTACTCATTTTAGATCATAGAAAATCAATATTCCCTGTATATGAATAAATTATTTTACATGATAATATGGGATTTTCAGCATTCTATAACTTTCATCAGTCTTTCAGATTCATTTTGAAAACTTTTCTACTCTTTCAATTTTAGTATTGCTTGCAGCAGCTTTTATTGCTTTCCAGAAATATTTGCTTGACTATTGTTTTCTATTTTCATATACATTTCTTTCCATGATGAACCACAAGTTTTCCATTAGAGTAATATCTATTTATTTGGTGTCTTTGAAACCATTTATGACAAGGTGGACAATAGTCAACCGAAAGAGCATTGTTTTACATGAATATACTTTTTACTTTAAACATTGTTGGTTCCATGCGCCATGTCCATTCAAGACGTGGACAATCATGCCTCCTGTACATATGGATAATAAAAGAAGAAAGTTGTAAACTGGACTACTCAAAAAAAAATGTCTTGTCAAAGAACTTAGAATAATTCCCTGCATTTATCTATAATTTTACTGCCTACAATACTATATTATACTTACTCAGTTATCTTCTAAATATTTAACTATTACAATGAAGGACTCAATCTCTAGCTAACAGCTAAGTTTATTCAATGTACCTAAACATTCATTACTAAAAATTACTGCTGAAAAAAATCAGTTTTCATGTACTTCTTCACCCAAATTATATTTCTCTTCATGAGGTTTACTTAAATGTAATAGTTTGGTTGCTTTCATACCTTTAAACAAGGTTCATTATATTCAAGTTATTTTTTCTTTCTTTGCATTTGCAACACCAGATCTTTTAAATATTTTCTTGCTTTAATTCAGTTTTAATTTTCCTAATTTTTTTTTGTGACAAGCCCTTTTTTCTTGTTATTTTGTCCATGTTTTCAATTTCTTTTTTATTTGTTCCCTGTTCAAATTTTTCTTACTTTCCAATGTTAAGTTTCTATCAGTTAATAATATATCTAGTTTCTTTTTGAGGTTATGTCTTTCTTAGAACATCATATACCTGACATTAAAAAATAAGCATCACTATTTTATATATTTATTTACAATATAATAAAGAACCTTTAAGCTGCCTAATGAAATCTTACACCACCAAATAAATTATTATAAATATTTCTAATAAAAATAAATAAGCAGAAATTCCCTTGGTATATTTATCATAAATATAAGTATAATAAACCTTTTACTAATATCAGTGGTTTAATTTTATTGTGAAAATGTTGATATACATAATAAAATCTGAGAGTATGTATATATTATTTAAATATTGTGTACCTTTAAAATAAGCTTTAATATTAAAAACATTAGTAGTAAAGATTTTGTGATCTATTGACAACTAGTAATATTATATATCTATATATTTTCTGTATAAGAAAATATCGAGCTTCATAGCAAATGTTGATATTAAACATATATTTTTAGATTTTACAAATTAATTTTCCCCAAAATATTACATCAAGGGAATGTTATTAGATACAACTAAAAAAAATGTATTGCACAAAAGCAACAGTTTACATCCATTAGTAAATTTAGAATTTTTCAAGATTCCAATGCTCTTGCATTTCAAATGTCTTCATTGTCATAATTCAAGCAGTTCTTTGCTTCTTTCAGAACCATTTAATATAATGAAGATTTTATATTAAAAGGTTTCTTTTGAAAGGGTAAAATCATTAAACACACACATACATACAAGAAACTCAAAAATATATAAGAAAATCACATTAAACATTTTAATTCACTGTATCCATTTTTACACAGTTATCTCCCATGCACCAATGAGTTTATGGTATGTCTAAGGGGTATAACTTCCCTTCAAGATATTAATGATTTTCAAATTAAAATGTTTTACTTTTTTTCTTTTTAATTATCTACGATAAGATAAAATATTTTCTAAAGGATAAAATTTACAATGGAAAATGAACATCATTGAAATATCTAAGAGGTGAGGAAAGAGAGCTTAAAATACTTTTTAAAAACTGAAACTATACATACTATTTTCATCATCTTTTTTCAGTCTGATCTGATTGGCCAAAGTTTGTTTGACATCCTTCATCCAAGGGATATCGGGAAAATTAAAGAACAGCTCAGCTCTTCAGATCTTACACCACGGGAACGGCTTATTGATGCAAAAAGTGAGTACTATTACTAAATATAAAACTTGTAGAATTGATAATCTTTACATCTGAAAATAATATTTCATAATAAATTAATAAAATATCCATACATAGTTTAAGTATCTTATGAATTGCATGGCTAAAATAATTCATCTTACAAATAAAAAATAGTAAACTGCTCATTTAAAAGATACATTTTTAAGGTAAAAAGATTTTAAAATTCCGTGTAAAATCAAATTACAAACTCATAAAAACAAATCTCTAACATTTTCTTTAAAAAATTTAATATAAAGTTTTACAAACTTCATGAAAATATGCTTATCTTTTGAGGCAATAATAAATTTACAGAGAAAATTCACTTATTTTTATCAACTGGTAAATTTTTATTTTCATTAAAAAACATCAAATAAAATATTTAGCAGAAGTACCTATTTCATATTCATAAAAGGAAATACATTCTTATCTTTTTGTCAAAACATTAATACTTTGTAATAAAACTTTCCTTATTTATCTCTACATCTTGACTTATCTTAATTTGATATCAGTAATAAAAGATAATACATAATATTGCAAATGTGAAATGGAATCAAATATATTTTATAGTTATTTAACAAGTTTAGTTTGGGCACAAGACCACACATATTGGCACTCAGAAATTTCTTACTAAATAGTAATGGCCTGATAGACTAGCTGCCAAACCATTATTGCACATTGAAATAGGTAAAACTAATATAAATCTTTAAAATTTTCAACCAAATACAAGGAGAATGTAGTGGATGAATTTTAACCAATAGCAATTTTTGTTGGTAAAGTAATTTCAATATGAACATTTATTTCTTATTCTATAACCTTTTATCTCGGCTTGTCCCTGGTAACGCTAAAAAAAGTGGTATACCCTGGAGAAAAAAGGTCCCCAAATTGATAAAAAAAAATTTAACATGTAAATGTTTATATTAAAATTAAAGAGGGAAGACCAAAGTATTTTTTGAATATTTTTTCAGATTTTTTAATCCTTCCTATAAATTTTAAAAATTTTATTTAAAAATCTCGTTTTTCTTGAATCAAAAAAAAAAAATTAGTAAATTCGATTTATCAGCCATTTCTGCCCGAATTTTAAAAAAAAAAAAAAAAAAAATCAAAATTAGTTCAAAAATCAATTAAAATTCAGTAACACCTTTTTTTTTTATCTTAGAAAATTTAGAATGATTAAAGTATACTTAATGTAATTTGAAAGAAACATTACTTACTTTTTTAGCAGAAAATTTTTTAATAGAGATATTTCCAACCGTAGTGCTTGCTTAGGTGCGTGATTGAAGGGTGTTAATTGATGGGCGTCAATATATTGACAACTTACGTCAAGGGAATTTATCGTATGGTAGCGCAGAAGTGATGTAATTCATTCTAATTTTAAGTGAACCTGGTTAGTAAATTAAAAAAAAAAAAAAAAAAAAAAATAACTTTCAATTTTTTTTTTAACCTTACGTTTGAAGAAAAATTTCTGCACTGAAAATAACATTTAAATTGTGAAAAAAAAAAAAATCAAATTTTACAAGCAAAAATGAAACTAACATTTTTTTAAATTGAGTTATACATATTTTATTTATTAATAAAATTAATATTGAAATGCTATGCAATCGATTTCAAATTTTGCTTTGTTGTTAACTGAATGAATGCAAAGTAATTTCTGAAGTAAAAAGAACTTGCTTCTATCTAGGGAAACAAATCTACCTCACATGATGTTATTTAAAAGCTGTGCATCCATACTTTCGTTGGAGATGATTTTAAATACAATTTTGGAATATTAAAAAATTATTATAAAAATATCAACGGTTGTCAGATTTTAATAAGCTTTCAAATTTATGATCTATAAGAAGTAGAGAACATAATATGTTATTTCCATAAGGCTTCATAAAGAAACTTAATTTTAAAATATATAACAACATTTTGTCATATTGTGTATTTAAAATAGAAAAAAAAGAAAAAATTATTGTAAAAATTCATTTTTCATCAAAATTTTTTTTTTTTTTTTTAGATAAGAATTACCTTAGTATATGTTATTCAGAAAAGTCATAAAAAGTTTTTTAAATTAAATATTGTCTTAGTTTTATTGGGTTTTGTATTTTTACAATCGAGGTAAAAGTTTCGACAATTTTGCACATTTTTTTTTAAAAAAAAAAAAAAAAATTCGATGATTTAGAATCTTCAGTCTTGTGCATTTAATTGAAAAAACAAATTCAGACTTTGAAAATAAATTTTTGAAGTTTTCATAAAATTAAGTTCGAGGGGTGTAACAGATATAAAAAAATATATTTATACCATGACTTTCAAAAAGACAAACATTTCTAAAATAATTTCATTCATTTGCGAATAAATTCTGAAAGTTTCATTAAAATCCAACAAGTACTTGATTTTTTGCAAGATTTTCCAAATCAATGTGTTTTTTTCAACTGAAAACAGTGAAAAACAAGTAATGTTAATATTATCTAATTTTTGACCTAAAAAAAAAAAAAAAAAAAAAAAAAAAAAAAGATTTTCAACCTAAATTTAAAATATGCTGCAAATGAAATAAATTTTTTTAAAATAATTAAAAAATACCTTGGTCTTCCCTCTTTAATTTTAACAAACATTTACACATTACAATTTTTTTTTATCAATTTGGGGACCTTTTTTTCTCCAGGGTATACCACTTTTTTAGCTTTACCAGGGACAACCCTACTTTTGTCTGATGTCAGTATACTTACAGACCTCACTTTACTGGTCTACATTTTTCATTATAAGAATATCAAGAAATAATAAAAAGTATATCTTAGAAATGGAGGATGAGTTATATTTACAGAAATACAAATGACTATCCAGGTTTCATATTTTTCATTTTTCTCCACAATTTATATATACTAACCCTTCATTAGTTCTTATATTTTTAGTTTTAGGCCTCACTAGTTATAATTTCATCTACAATAACCCAACTAAAGTCAAGAGAACATTTTCTATTTCATTTCTCTTTTATACAACATTTTAAAAACATCTTCAGGATGCAATGAACAGATTCGTAGAAATTGATACTGAACAATCCTTTCATTCATCATAGGACAGAATGAAATGTTCATTTCATGTTAAATTTCAACATAATAAAAATGGTTAAATAACCTAATATTTTCTTGCAACTTTATTGCCACTTCATATTTTCTTGATATGAAGTTTCTTTATTTCTGATTTTCCATTTATCAAGTTCCATATTGTCTAAGTAAATATTTACTCTAAAAATATATCATACTAGCTGTCATATGACAATTTCAGTAAGCCACATTGCCATCACAATGTATAATCGGTTATTGCTTAATTTATGCATTTGAAATATATTTCACACACTGTATATTTGTTAGGAATAGCATCCTTTTTTTCTTTTTTAATATTAAATTTTCAAGCATCCATCTATAGAGAGCAGCAAAAATAACATTTGATTCACTTTTGTTATTTTAAGATATATGTTTGAAATTTATTTAATTTCAGCCATGCTTCCAGTCAGAACTGAACTACCTCAGAAACCAACCCAGCTATGCTCAGGAGCACGGCGTTCTTTTTTTTGTCGAATGAAATGTGGCAACAAGTCTTCAGAAATCATGCCCAACACTGTCAAAGTAGAGAAAGACCCCGATGTTGATCATTCCCATAAAAAACGAAAATCTGGTAAAATGTTTTGTCATTATTCAAATTATATTTTTTCACTATATTATTATATACATTTCATCAGAAACTGCCAATTTCACCATCTTTAAAAAAAAAAAAAAAAAATTATCCAGGCAAAAACAGGCAAACTTAATTTAATTTTGATGAATGTTAGTGTAAAGTTAATTAATAAAATTCATTTGTTTCTGTCTATGTTACAAAAACCAGATTTTAACCAATTTAAATGCTAAAAGATATAGTTGAACAGAACTATTTTAATAAAATAAAAGTAAAATGTACACATTACAATTTAATACAATTTATGAAAGTTATTTTTGTTACAATTTTATACAGGACATAACTGACTTTCCTTCAAACATTTCTGCCATCACAAATTTGCTATTTACTTTATCCACCAAGTTTAGGAATTTTAAATTTATTTAAATGTTACCAAAACAAATTCGAAAAAGTGTGTGTTTTAAAAATCTTATTAGTCATTATTACTCTTAAGAAATAAGAAACTATGTTGTAATCAATTTTTATGTAACAAAGATGATTTGACATTTAGAAAAGCAATTTGTGTTCATATACATAAAAACACTCATAGTTTCCAGATACCAAGGAATCTTCCTACATAAATATTCAGTTTAAATATTTTATTGACCTTTTGTAATTTAATGTAATTTGGAATCATTAATTTTCATCTTCAGACAGAAAAAATTTCTGTATAATACACTGTACGGGGTATTTGAAATCATGGCCACCCACAAGGATGGATATAGGAGGAGATGAGGAGCAAGAGAATGACAACGAACTGTGTAACTTGAGCTGTTTGGTTGCTGTGGGACGAACACTGCCACCTTTCAGCCCCTATAATCTACCTGAAAGTGGAGCAATTCATATGCGACCAACAGAATATGTTTCCCGACAAAGTATTGATGGGAAATTTACATATATAGATCATAGGTAAGTTCTCAAAAGAGAACGAAAATTTTTTTTCTTTACATGATAGACAATAAAATTTACAGGCTGCCTCATCTAGCAATATTATAGATCAATGAGGCACAAGTACAAGATGGGTCATAATAGTGACTGAAAAAGTCAAATCAAGTAATATCAGAGCACTGATTTTTCAATTTGGTGGTATTTTATATTATGTCAACTTTCATTTGCTTTAATAATAGATATGCAAGACATTTAAGTTACTAGCACCAGTCATGTGAAGAATATTAAAAATGTAATATTACCTGTTCATATCATACACGAGATTAAATGACATTAGGCACAACCACAAACAATACTGCACACACACAGTTTGAAGCTAGTTAAAATCTGTAACTGGAGTCGAAATAAGGGAAATAACTCTTTAAATTTATACTTTACTGAATGTTAAAATGTAACTTTTTGCCAGAAATGGTAGTCAAAAGCTAAACATGTATACATTTTAGAGACACTGAATAACACAAGCGTTATTCAATTTTTTCTTTTGCAGGGCTACTGTTATATTAGGTTATCTGCCTCAAGAACTTTTAGGAACATCAGTTTACGAATATTACCATCAAGATGATATATCATATATGGCAGAAATACACAGAAAAGGTAAGTTAAATAAAAAATAAATAATTTTGGTCTACATGCTTTACTTCCACTGATTTAAGTATTAATAATTGAAATATCTATTTCCTAGGTTTATTTTAGAGAATTTTAAAAATTTCTAATTGTATTATATACCTAGCTATATAAACTTACACAAATTCTTATATATCTTAGCAATCCCAAAGTTTTCTTACATTTCAGGTATAATTCATATGCTAATACTTCATTGAACAGAATGACTTTATTTTACATTTTCCAGTACACATTTGTTACAACTATTTCTTTATATTCAAACACCACCTTAATAAAATAATAATAAAATTTATCTTAAAAAAAAAAAGAAACTAAATATAAATGGGAAGCTTACAGGAAAGCAAAAGATTCTTTAAAATAAGCAAAGTATTACAGAATATATAGCAAACAGGCATATAAAAAAGAAAAAACTTGGTTTATCTTTTCTATGTAAAATAGAAGATTACCAATTTGGTACTGATGATAAGTGTGTACTTAAATTTCCTAAGTTTTAATATAATTGATGGCAAATCAGTCTCATGGTTATGAAAATTGATTAAAATAAAACCTGTGATGAAAAAAAGGGGTGAGAATAAAACCCATGGCGGAAAAGGGGGCGAGAATAAAACCCGTGGCAAAAAAAGGAGTGAGAATACGATTGATTGTACATTTAGCACATTACCATTAATTGTGGCTTAATATTTGTCAGTGCTGAAGCTATATTTAATTGCCATCAATTTTGAAAATTACCATTCATACAAACAGGTGCCAATATGGTAGAAAAACTGTCATTGAGAATCTAGTTTTAGCACCAAGCCAAAATGCATTCAAGGTTTTTTTCCTTGAAAATTCAAGTTTGACTTAAATATGATGTTTTGCAAATTTTTCAAGACCTTTCAATGTTGAATGTTTTGGGGAACAAACTAATTCATTATCTAATTCCAGTAGGAAATGGTTGCTACACCATTGGTATATACTCCAGTTATTCCATTCTAGCTCTATTTCTTTGAAAAATTCATCCATTTCTTGATGAATTATCTCACCCATAATGTTGTTCTAACTGGCAGAACAATACATACTGCTTTATTATCAGTTTTATTCGTCCACAAATTTAGCCACTTATCCAAGAGATCTTTTCAAAAATTAAGCAGTAAAACTAATGGTAATATCTTGATACAGATCTTGAAGCACATTCTAATGTAGATAAACTCATTTAATTCTTAATGTACCAAATCTTCCTGAAAATTGACATCATAGACTTATAGTTGCTAAGGTCACAAATAGCAATTTTGTGACTTTGGTGGCCAAGAGCTAAAAAGATATTTGATATTTAATCCTCTTAGGTATTTCTTACTTTGAACATTTTTCCAACACCTAATTATCTTTATAAAACCCTTCAGTGTAATAACTCCACGTTTCAGAAGATGTACTCTATACATTTATGGATCCATGACTGACTTAAGTAAACAAAGAATTATTAAAATGCATAAATTTTAAATGATTGGCTCTTAGCTATTGAAGTTAAATTATTTTCTACATTAATCTTTTTCTGAGAAAATAAGCATATTTGCACAAAGATTTAATGGAATATTCAAGCAAAGTAATATTATAATCCATTTTAAGATTAAAAAAAAAAAGAAAGTGAAATCAGATTACTTTGCTGCATATTTTGTCCAATTAGCAAATTATTAACAAATTTTCTTACATATCCAAATAAAATTCAAGTCTATTTTTGTTCTATCACAAAAATTATAGAACAGACACAAAAACTAGTACTGAAAATTGAATTATAAATAAAAAGAAAATGTGCATGTGTAATGATCCAGTTTTATGAATAGGGATAAATATTAATTCGGCTATAATTCAATTAGAATTATTCACAAAGATTTAGTTAATTATATCGATATCAGCTTCTTTATATTTCATTAACCCTCCATACCTATACGATACACTAAATTTTTGGATATATATATATATATATATATATATATATATATATATATATATATATATATATATATATATATTATATATATGTAAGCAAATATATGGATATAGATCCGACAGTATGAAAGAAAAATACAGAAAAAACAAACAAAAATCTGAATATGCAATTATGTAGTATTAATGTTAATATAAAGTCGACGTCGGACGTTTCGGTCTATTTAAGACCATCTTCATGGACATGGCGATGTTGTTAAAACGTATTCGATGAATAAGAACCTATTGATCACTACGTATTCCGACATCAATGGAAGAGATTTCTTGAACTGTTTATACAAAATTTTTCAATCGACTTTTTAATATTTTAATATTTGGAAATCATCATCGAATACGTTTTAACAACATCGCCCATGTGACGACTACGTGATCATATTTAAACGGAACGCTGATCTGTATAAAATTTCAGTTATCTGTTTGGATTAATTGGGCTCTTATGTCCATCGTCTTTTGTGTTAAATTTTTATAAGTTCTAATGTTAATTATGTTTAAATGAAAATGTCCATGAAGATGGTCTTAAATAGACCGAAACGTCCGACGTCGACTTTATATTAACATTAATACTACATAATTGCATATTCAGATTTTTGTTTGTTTTTTCTGTATTTTTTTTTTATTTTATATATATATATATATATATATATATATATATATATATATATATATAAATTTTATGATTGTATTCTAACAACCTTATTTTCAAACTTTTATCATTTTAGTTTTACAAACGAAAGATAAAATTGAAACGCACATATTTCAATTCAAAGCAAAAGATGGTACATTTCTTCATTTATGGTCAAAATGCTTCAGCTTCCGAAATCCATGGACAAAAGAAGTTGAATATATTGTGACTACGAATACTGTTGTTCCGTGAGTATTACTTTTATATAGAATTCTAAAAAAGCTTTCTTTACTCTAAAATTAAACTGTTCAGAGACATGTTGATGAATATTTCTATATACATAAAACATGAACAAAATAGCCAGAATAAAAAATTTGAAGTCAATGAAAAAATGAAAATATGTAAATGATGTTGATTATTTTCTATAATTTTATTAGAGTTTTGAGATGGGGAACTGTCAATATATGTTTATCTGAACTATTGTTCTCACCTTTGGTTATGATAAATGTTGTAAACATTTCAACAAAGTACATTTTGGCCATATTCAGGTGTTCACTTTTGGCTTATCTTGTATTAGCTAAAACAGATTATGAATTTCAATACCTGATCAAGGGATTGAACTTTTGACTGTTAGTTGACTGCAATACTTTTGACTAACATTTATATCCACTCTACCAGTCCGTAACAACATCAGTTGGTGTATATTTAGAGGCCCATTAAGCTATTAATGTCATTTCATATCAGTGATTGCCTCTGAGTATAATCCAAAATACATTTACCTTTGTACCATATTTGTGTTTTTATATTTGCTATGGATAGACCTAACGTGATTAAAAAATTATTAAAGATAACATTGGCCTTAAGGGACAATTATCAATTTCTTAGGTTTTTTTTTTTCTTTAGTTATAAATTTTTCTAATATACCTAGTTCACATTGAAGAAAACATCAAAATGTTAACAGTAAAAATAGCATCATTTACCTCATGACTTAGCCAAATATTTTTCAAGTTAAAAATAGATGACAATGAAATTGCATTACTAGTTTAACCTTATTTGGCTAGAAATTGGTCCAAACCCACCAACTGAAATTTTTTTTCCTTTTGATATAATTAAATTTGAACAAGGGAATGACTACTATCCAAAATATAGGAGAAAGCCAGAAGATGTAGGTCACATCAGCAAAATCAAAATAAGACAATATAGACATCAAGTTGAGCAAGAAATCATTAATCAGTGGGTAGTGCCTTACAACACATATTTGTTGCGACAATTCAACGGTCATATCAATGTTGAAATTGGCTCATCAATTCATTCAATCAAGTATTGCATCAAATACATATCAAAGGGGTCAGATCAAGCTGTTTTTGCACAACACACGTCCACTGATATTTTTCCCCCTTTGATTTAAATTAAATCTAAATTTGAACAAAGGAATCACTGCTATCCAAAATATAGAATGGGAAAAGCCAAAGGATGGCAGTCACATCGGCAAGATCACTGAATAATACTCAAATGCATCATTTTTCTCCACAAATTATAACAATGATTTAAAATCATTTTCTTAACAAAAATGTGGGACACACAGCAAGGCATGGGTAATTCGGCTAGTCTATTATAAAACAAGTTATTATAGAACCTACTTGCTACTATAAGCCATGACACCAAGCATAATGATACCTGTCAAACAACACAAAGACATTGCTAATTTGTTATATACACTAAATGATTAGATATTAATCATCGATCATCATGCACAGAGTATAACATCAGGTAGATATTAAGCTATTTTCCAAATTCCCTTATACATTTAAATTTAACAGAAGTATGCCAAAGCATTATTTTTTAAAGATGACAGCATATTATCATGTATCTTGGTTTTCTCATTTACAGTTATCTGAATACAGTACAACTTGTCCATTTACAATTTAATAAAATAAAAATTAAATAAAGGAAACTACTTTTTCACACCAGTGTCCTGACAAAAAAAAATTAAATTGGGTATTTATTTCCAGATTTAAAAGGTGTATATTTTCTTCATGGTTGAGCATTGAATTTTTCTTAACATTAATAATCACTTAAGGTTTACTAAATAGTTTATTTAAAAACCAAAACGAAAAGTTAATTCAAGCATAATTTTAATAACAAATTGATATCTTTATATTTTTCCCCTCCATACATCATTTCAAAATTTTGCTGTAAATACTAAGCAAATTTCAAAATTCACTTAACTGTTTTTCAACTAAGTTGGTATGCAAGTAAAACTTTAAACATTGAGCTATCCAATAATTATTTTTTCAAGTTTATAATAGCAGTGAAACCTATTTCCATAGCATAACAAATTAACAAAAAACAGTAAATTCTTTTTTTATTCACTTTTATAGGATGCCAAAAGTTACAAGCTCAAACCAAGCAGCAGAATCAAGTGAAACTCCAATGCAAGTGGATATCAACGTTGAAAATGCCTCATCAAGTAAAGTAGAAGAAACATCAATTAGTAAGTTACCAACAAAAATATCTACATATGAAAATTTTACTGAAAGTGTAACTATCTTGAATAGCTACCTATATGAATAAAGTGCAGTGTATGTCAATCTGTTTTTCTGATCGCAGCAAATCATAAACAACCTGAAGTAACAGGTAGTAACTACTGTAGTTACACATGATTAAAAATTAAATAAATAATTCATTTAAACTTTAAATATCAAACAAATTGAAAGGTTTAAAAAACAATACTTTATTAAAGGTTTAACTTTAATCTCACTCTTTGTCACAATTGCAATTGATATTGTCTAATTAAACCATAATTAAAACTTAAGCAGGGGACAGTACGTTGCTCATGTCTTTTTTTTTCCTTTTTCTAGTACATGTACTGTGACGTATTTGAAATATTACATAGTTCGGGTTCCCTAACGTCTTAAGAGCAATTTTATGTGAACCTATTTTATCATATTCAACTCAAGAGAAAGAAAAAAAATCATTTTTATTCCACCCATCTTTCTCAAAAAACAAGGACTGAAAATAAAAATTTCCATTTGAATTTTACAGTTGTCCAACCTCCACCACCAACCCAGACTAGTGTTACAAAATCTGGATCTACAATACCTGGAATTTCAGTTGGTACAAGAGCAGGTGCTGGTCGAATAGGGAGACAAATTGCAGAGGAAGTTTTAGAAATGACAAGGTATACAGAATAATTTCACTTTTTTATTTTCTTTTACTTATTTTTCTATGAACAAAAAGTGTATCTAATTTCACAATAAAATTACTACATGTAGATATTAATAAATAATTACCATATCTCTGGAACCCTTTGACCTTAAGATATAAAATAGGTACCATCCAATTTCTATCCTGAAACTCTATAAGTGTACCAAATTTGAAAAAAAATGTGATAGTGAGACTCTTGTTGATTTGACATGGAATGATTCAAAATTGATATCAGTCCTCCAGTTAACTTCTTTTGTAGTAATTCTGAAGATCATATGACATACAACTAATAAGGTATCAGCCAAAACACTGTCAAAAATAACAAAGATGAAATTATTTAGTATGAAAAATACATGGAATGACAATTAGAAATAGGCAATGAAAAACCTTTCAAAGATATATACCTCATTTTTGTAAAAGGAAATAAAATATTTTGAAGGTGGCAATAAAAGCCTACAAAAAATTCCAGCAAAGATTTAATTCATAAATTGTAAAAAATTATACTTAACTATTACATATAAACTGTAACAGTCAAAACTATATGTACTGGTTTTCATTGAAAGTACAGTGAAATCACAAACAAGATTATTCAAGAAAAAATATTGCATTGCATTCATCACATCACTATATTTCTAATAGCCCTAAATACAGGCTTACTCAGTGTTGATCCTTTTCTTTTTGCCTTGTCACATAATAAATTCTAATTTTGATCCAAAGTACAAATTGAGTTTTTGTTACCATTAGCAAACAATTTAACAAAGAATTTATTTTTTAATTGTTAATCAAAAATCATTGTTAATAAGCAGAAAATACTTTTCTTTCACCTTTCTTGAAAATTATGAATATATATCAAAATTTGAATAATACTAAAAATGAATCTTTTTATAACATGAAACTATGTTAAAAAATTAATTCAGCATTATTTATCCAAGGGAATTAACTAGTCATTTGGTATTATCCCCCTTATATTATGATTCATGTTCTAAGAGAATTTTTTATTTCCAAAATTATTTTACAAAAATTAATGCCCCCATTTCACCATTTTGAAAATATATTATTAACTAGACTGATTAGTCTACAAAAATATTTTGCATAATATTCTAAATTCATATGAAAAGTCACTTATAGGAAATTGAAGCTGGAGACTTTTACATTTTGTCTATTACAGTCAACCTTTCCAATTATTTTTTTTTAAATATTGAGGTAAATAAACACACTGGAAAGAACTTAACCAGAATCAAATTGAAATGATTTTCATTAAATTCATTAGTTTTTTTTTAACTAAATTTTTTGGAAGAGAATTAATGACTTTCTGCTGTTTATTTCATTTAATAAATCATTTTTCTGTAAATCTTTAATCTCATTTTAATTCAATTTCATACTGGACAATTTGCAAAATAATTTTCCCTAATAATTTACTTTTTTTTTTACAAATAATTACAAAGTTCATATATTTCTCATTTGATTACTGAAGTGTCACAATTGATGTACTCCTTCCCTAAAGAATTTGCAACTAAAACAGTAATATTTCTATCCATTATTTTCAGTAACCGGTCAACATTTACTGCTGATAGTAGTAGTGTTCCAGGACCATCAGCAGCACAAGTGAGTGTATACCAGTTTTATGATACTGTTTATCAAAATTTTGAAAGTATTTTGGTACATATGTACTAAAATAACAAAATTATCAATTTTTGTCAGCCAAAGGAAATATATTCAATGTAAACAAACAAATTAAAAAAGTTTTCTTTGAGAAAAAGTCTAAGATAAACTGAATGAATGGAAAGGTGGCACCATAACAAGTACCATATTATGGAAGGCACCATCATATATTTTAACAGCAAAAATCTTGTTGGTATGAAAGTGTTCCCCACTCCAATCCAAGAACTTGATTAAAATAATTTTAAATGGGTACCAGGAAATTGAACACTGTTATTCCGCCGAACTGTACCTTACTTTGTACCTACCTGAACATGAGCTTATTTGATAAAAGGTTTGTCCAAAGTACACCAGCTGCATTCATCACTATAACAGGCATATCGGACATGAAAATACAACCAATTAAAAATATAATGATTCACTAAGATAACTACAAAATATTTTCATAGCTGTACAAAAATACCAAATTTCCAGACAGGGTGATGGTATCATGAAATTTATCTGAAAGTACTATGGTATTCATGATATCTAGGATTTTGATATTGCTACCCACACCTGAAGTTACTATTATTTGCAGTTGAGTCATAGAATTGCAATGACAGAAATTCTTGATATCTGTAATTAATAGATGAAGTGATTTCTTAATCATTAAAGTCAAAATCATAAAGATTGTATAATGGATTAATGTACTAGATTAAAACAGTTACAAATTTTATGATTGAAAGAATTTTATAATATATATAAATTTAATTTTCAGAATAAACATACTCGGACAAAAACATCTGCAGCAGAAACAACTAGTACTGGTAAGTACCAGTTTAACTCCTGACTATATTCACAAGTTTCATTTGCAGTTATTCAAAATAACTTAGGAATAGTCATTTATTTTATATCAGTATTATACTTTTGACTAATTGATACTGGACACTTCCTCCATTAACACAGTTAATGACATTTCAATTATATTTTTAAGTTTATTTGATATAGTTTTAGAGAATAGTGGTAAAGGGAGCAGAAGTGATCAAGTTTTTCAAATATTAAGATGAAAAAAAAACTGCTCTAATTACAGTATACTGCTGGCATTACTTTAAAAATTAAACTTATAAAAAAGAAAAAAATATGCCATATGAGATTTTATCTCTTTACTTTAGATAAGAAGAGAAAAGGAAACCTGTAATTACTTTTTTCTCCCAAGAAACTTGCAATAAGCTTGGCAGTAACAGGATTACATTGTCACATTTTATGATGCAAATCGATGCTTTCAAAATAAAATTGGTATTAACCAATCAATATTTGCAAAATGTTTGGGATATACTTACATGAACAAGATATAAGTTTCAGTTTATAATATCTATCCTTGTTAAAAATATTGATAACTTATTTCAGGTTTTATTATACATAAATCAATCCAAATGTTTTTTATCTACAGAAACATATATTTGATAACACAATATCCCATATACTTGAATTATTATTTTACATGTTAATATATGCTTCTTGACATTCTATAACCATTATCAGTTCTTTATGCACTGATTCTGTTAACCATCTACTGTCTAGATTCTAATGCTTACTTGCTTCCCAAAGATGCTCTTTGCTTGAATATTGTTTTCCATTCTCATATACATCTCTTAATGATAAACCACAAGTTTTCTACAGGATTTTTGGTCATTCCATTAATTTTGTCTGAAACCTTTTGGGTTGGTGGGATAAGTCAGCTTTGCAGAATTTGGAGATGCATTGTCTTGCAGGAATGTATTCTAGCATTCATGTCTTTAGCCAATGTTCTTAATGTTCAGCATCTTTTGTTTACATTTGTAAAACCAGCTTCTTCAAATATGTTCTTGCTGGTCAATCCAATTTTCTTGCTTGTTACCATTTTAGTTTCTATCAAATCTCTTTTTATAGCATTCTTTAAACTGATTTTTTCTTGCTAACCATGCCAATGTTTTTAATTTTTTTTAATGTTTTATGATCTACCTTATTCTTTTTCACTATTCCCAATATTGTGTTTCCATCACTCAATAACTACAATCTCTTGTTTCTCTTTTGAGATTAATTCAACTCATGGCAACCTTTATATATCTGAAAATAAAAAAATGTCATTAACTATGTTATTTTATATATTTATTTACAATATGAAGTAAAATCTCTCAATACAACGTACTGTACATATTTCTAATAAAATATATAAGCCAAAATTCAGTTTTTTTAACATGTAAATATAAACATGACATTTTTACCAACATTAGTTGGTTAATTTTATTGTGAAAACATTCACTTGCATAAAAACGGATACAATGTATAGCATCAGCAGAAAAACAAACATACCCTAGTTTTCAAAATTTAAAAACTATTCAAATTAGCTTAAAAATTAGTCCAGTATATTTTTTCCAAGAGTAAAAGAAGTTTAAATATTTTTACTATTATAACTAGGGGCCTATTACAAATCATCCATGATGTAATTTTTGTGGGATGTTTACATTTATTTCATTTTAAGATATTTAGTTTTTAAAGAATCATTTCTACTTTACTACAATCTAATAACTTAAATGTTTATTATATATTCACACTCATATATAATTCATATATATTTTTGATGCATTTTCAAATTCTATAATTACAGAATCAATATCTACTACTTGAAACAATTTCAACTTTCCAAAAAGGAAAGAATTAAGCATTTAACAACTTAAAAAAAAAAAACAATACATGTCAACAATTTATTGTTGAAAAATAAATAGTTATGCAAGAGAATAAATAAGATTTAGGATTCAATGTTTTTACCTTAAAAAGTTTCAGTATTTAAAAATTGTATTCTTAGAGCAGAATTTATCATTACTGAAATGCAACTTTAATTTTCAGTCAAAGTTTTAGTTAAACCTTGAATATTATGTACAAACCACTTTAGTAAACTGCCAATTATATCAAGATTGTGGGGAGATTTATATTAGTATATTCTTTAGCATTATGATATGATTAAAGGTATGGAAATATTTTGAAGGAAAACATCTTAGTGACAAATATGGAAATGATTTAAATCATTTACTGAGATTAAAAAATTTGACTGAAGAATTATTAAAGTACTAATACTATTTCCTTTTATTTTCCATTAAAAATATTTCCTGCAGGGTGCAACCCTTCTCTTTCATCATCAAGGACTGCTTCCCTGTTGACACCACATAATGGAATCAGCGTGGGAATTCGAGATTCAGGTACTCTCCCACTGTTGCTTTCTAATATTAAGAGCAGGGTCAAAAAGAGAAGTCTTTACTTTAATGTTGGAAGAGCTAGATAACTAATTATAATGTCAAATTTTATAAGACCAATGCATCTAGTTAACATTTGAGTTTATAGTGATTATATATCTTGAAAATTCAAAATGAGCTTTAAGCCTTTTGAAATCAAATTAACATAGCAATACCTTTAGATATTGACATGAACAATGTTAGAATATGGTTTAAATTATCAGCACCTGATTAAAAAAACAGTTTCATTTTGATTAATTGGCAACACTGGTTTTAAATTAGTCTATTAAATTCTGTGAAATTGCTTATAAAAATGTTTCCAACATTTGACACTCTCCAGTTACAAGGACTTATAAGCAGTTCTCCGATTACTTTTTATATTTAGCATGTTAGAAAATATTTATCTAGTTAGGAAAATCTTTCAAAATGGTTAAGAATATGATTAAAAATCAAATTCTCATCTGTTCTCTTGGAAAAATCAAATTTATCAAATTATTTAAAATGAAAATCATTTTAAAAATATGACAAAAACAAAAAAAATTAGGCTTTTTGTGCATTTCTTCTACTCTTTATCCTTAACAATTGCCCCTCTTTGCCAATAAGATTCTGATAAAAACTTTTGCCAGTTGTTTTTACATAAGATTTATTTACTTACAAAGTCTGTCAACATTTATGAGATGTTAAAATTACTTGCTTAAATAAACTATTGCAACATTATTATTACATGTGATATACTTTCTTAAATAGTTTTTAAAATTCAAAATCTTAAACAGTTTATACCAGATTTCAAAATTTTTCTACACGATCTCAACTGATATGTGGAAACTGCTAGAAATCTTACAAAGATTCAGGTGTAACAAGCTACAAATATACACAATGGGTAACTGCATAAACTATACACTTCAAAATATCACCATAAATCAAAGTTTTTAAAAAAATATCAAAAGATTATGATTATGCTAATAGTTGCATATATCCCATTGGTGCTAGTGATCAGTTTTAACCTAAATAAAAACAAAGATTTGAAATTCTGATATTATAAAGAAGGAGGCTTTCCACAATTGAAGAATTGGTACAATACAATCTCATATTTTCCTCGTCTGATTGTGCCAAAAAAATATCTACAAATTTAAGAGCCAATTATAATTATGCCTTATGATGTCATTCTTAAAATCATTTTATTAAAATGCTTAGATATTAATTTATATATCAGTTTGGCATTTTGATAAAGTATGTGTTTTTGTTAAAAAAAAAATTAAATTGCAGCTGAATATTATAAAATCTTTACAAATACTTTATCACATCTAGTTATATGCACTAATATGAAAAGAATCCTATGAAAAAATGTTCCTAACTTGTTTGCAAATCCATTAAGAAAACTTTTTAAAAAAATTCCTCAAATGCATAAAATACATTTTTACTTCAGAAAAATTTTGAATAATGCATCTGATTCTTTATTGTTATTAATAAATAACACAGTTAATGCATTTCTGAGATTATCTCCAGTAAATAATACTAAATCAAGTATCTTAAATTGTTTTATTTTTATTCACAGATACATAAAATTTTCCTTTGTTTTACTTTTGCAGAAGGCTCAAGCCACGACAGTAGTTTGGTGGATTCCGTAATGAATGAGCATGTTATCAATGAGATGACAAATCCAGGCAACAGTGGGGATGATGAGGCAGCAATGGCTGTAATTATGAGTTTGTTAGAAGCAGATGCTGGGCTTGGAGGCCCAGTTGACTTCAGTGATTTACCATGGCCATTATAGCTTAAATTCAATGAAATACAAGTTTTCAATTCAAAGCTGTATCTTCCCTATATCCTTGGGTCACAAGCAGCACAGTACCAAGTGTATCCTCCCCAACATTTATATATAAAAAAGAAAACAAAAGAAGCAAAGCAAGAATTATTATTACCAATTCTGAAAGATGCTGTGGCCACATTGATTAAATATGTGTGTGTGTGTGTGTGTGTGTGTGTACATGTGAATTAGTGTGTGAGTTTTTGCAATGTGTGCCTATCTGATATATGTTGTGCATACACTGAAAAACATTTTTCACAACATCTCATCCTCTGGTCTGAAAAGCCATTTTCATTTAACAACTTGCCTGTTCTGATCCTATCACTGGTAAGTGGTTACAGCTAAGCTACAAAACACCTTATTAAATATCATACCATCATATTTTAGAAACGTTTTAGCTGCCTCAATAACCCTTTTTCATTTTGATCAGATAAGGTAAATATACTTTGTATTGATCTGTTAAATACATTGCTGCTCCTCTCTGACAATTTTTTAGCATATTCTCAGATTATGAGAAGGAAAGATGAAATGTAAAAATATGTTGGATAAGTCCATGTCAAACAAAACATAACTATATCTAATGACATCACTAGTGTGATCAATAATGAGAATAGCTTAAATAAAACCATATAGCATATGCTGGAATTTTGGGACAAGGGATTATCATTATATACCTTTCAATTTGGAGATGGTATATGAAATTTAGTTGTTACACTAGCTGAATGAGAAAAATCTACTCTGGATTCAATAATGAGTTCAAAATTCTGAGAATTCTGGAGTACAATAACAGATACTCAAAGGCTGAAAGCTACAACAACCAAAATACTGTGATTGCAATAACCAAATAGAAAGGCATATCATAACCATATAGCAGTTATCAATTGTAGTACATGTAAGCTTTGATTATTATCAAAGCTAAAACAAATCTAAAAGTAAAAATGCTGAAGTTTCATAATATCATTATGTCTGGCTGGATAGAATTTATATTATTTTTGTCAATATATGATTAAACCTTTATTCTCTTACTAGGTAAAATAAATTCTATATTAATAAAGAGTAAACTATGATAAAATGATAAAATTAATGTCTGTATTTTAAAAAAAATACAATCATACACATTGCACTGTATTAATGCATATTTCCCTTTTTGAAAGGAAATGGTACTTATTTGTATTATCTCCAGCAAAATGTTGAGAAAAATGCAAAGGAAAAGGGCAGCAGTAGTAGGCAAGATTTGATACAGATCAATGTCCTTTTTTTTTTTTTTATTTAAACAAATTCATTGAAGACAAAGATTTCATATACTTTTTCATTATTCTTTTAACTCAATGGCTGGAAGACAAAATTATATTTAGGACACAAGATGTTTGTGAAGAAAGAAGAAAAACACTATGAGATGAAGAAACGGGTACTAAAATAATTTGGGATACAATCAAATTATGAATAAAACTATCCCAAGCACTAAAAGTGCATTTTTTTTTTTTTTTTTTTTTTTTTGGACAGCAGCCAATCAGATATGTTTGAATCATGCTGGAAGGAGATGATTTTAATCTGCAACTTCTGGATGCTTCCTTCCTGAATATACATATAAATATACAAACACAAACATAACACTGATCTGGTTTCATTGGTGGATATTTTTTTTAAATATCTATCAAATAATTATGTCAGTAAGGTTACTGGAGACTAAGTTCCATGAAAATTACTTATCAAAAACATTTTGTATACACATGAAATAATGAAGACAGATCCTGTATATTTAATGCTTAGAAGTTATTTTAACAACCAGCAAATGTTTTACTGTGCATTTTTAGAATTCAGTTGAATGAAAATAGCTTTTCTAAATTTCATATTAAAAAAAAAGAAGTTTTCTATAAGTGCCAAACAAATAATATTTGAAAATATATTTTTAAAAGCTTTCCTTATTAAATTTAAAAAGATGAAATTTTTTTTCAAGTAATTTTAAAAATTTCAACAATTCCTTTTCATTCTTCACATTTTTTTAAACATCTTTTAAATAGCCTTTAAATATCACTTAATCATTCAACTTTATGAATGTCTCATCTAAATACAGCTACAAAAATATATTCCAAAAATAATCTTTTACAATTATAGCAGTAAATGAAAAAAAAAAAAAAAAAAAAAACTCTTGTGAATTTTGTTTTATGGTAGACAAAAGAATTAGTATTAGCAATCATAATATCTAAAGTTCCATCCCCAAAACTCTTATGCACCCACTTAAAATTTAAAACACAAGTGCTACTTTTCTTTAATTATTCTATCAGTTAAGATCCAGTAGAAATATTTGCAATAATGAATAAATTAGCACATACTATTATTATTTTTACTTCATTGAAATTTAGTCTATTAAAAATAAAGAAAACTTCAAAAGAGTGAATTAGTATTGCTATTCCTATCTTTTATATATAGAAAAATAATTTTTGCAGGATCTGTCTGTCTGTGTGTGTGTATGTGTGAGAGAGAGGGAAAGAAAGTAAAAAGATGCTGGTTTTGTTTTTCTTTGGAAAACTATACATATATGCCTTTGTGCACAATTTTTTCTCTTTGTTCACAAATCCATTTGTGTCAAAATATTCTCATCGTTTCATTTTGTTTCACCTATTTTTATGTACTCTGACATTCATTACATCTTCACTTTTTTGTTCAAGATGGCTGGTGCTTCAATGGTGATTTGCTCTATAAGCTATCTCAATTACATTGAAAGAAATGATTTTCAAACAGTTGTCTCATCTGCATTGTAAAATATATATGAGATGTTTTGGTAAAGACATTGCTAAATGTTTACTTGAATATGGTTAATTACATTACCTGACAATAATTGAAAATTAAGTAAATTCCAGGAGTTACTGTGTTGCAGGCAATGGTGTTAAATACCGAACCTCATAAACAAGGCATTGTGATAGATGGAGAAAAATACCAATATACATATCAGAAATTTTTACTCTGATGAAAGTAAAATAATTTTAAAAGAAGGCAGGTATGCCTGTTTAAAAGAATTTATATGCCCTTTCATTGAAAGTGATTATTGTAAATTAGGAAAAAATAAACATTAATTTCTTCTGGATTTGTAACATAAAAAATAAGGACTGACATTACTGGGTTAGAAAACAAATATATACCTAAATATACCAACTGATAGCAGGAATTCAGTCACCAAATGTTAACTGAACAGATTAATATTTTCATTAGTTATATAGCTCAACATCTTTACATATTTGTCACATTATTGAAAACTTTCAACACATGATTAAGTACAATAATATAACTCTTTATAAACTAAATTTAGTAGCCTGTTAATAATTCACTTAAGATAGAACAAAAAGAAAACAAAATGTAGGCTTTTTAGTATCTATTTCCTGGCACATATTTTTTTCATGTCTATTGAATTGATAAAGCAAGATACAGGAAACTATCTGGTTATGGTTATTTTTAGAAGAAATATCTTGCTACACAATAACAGATAATTAATAAATTTTATATAAATGAAAGCACAAATATACTGGTATTTATTACAATATTTAATACTTAAAAAGTAAGAGATAAAAACATTAAAAAGATTATTGAAAACAATATGAATTATTTTATGTTCATTTTTTTTATTTATTTGAATTTTTATATTTGTTCATTTAAATTATAGACAAAAGTGATATTTTCATGTAAAATTGAAAATATGACTTAAGTTATAACAAAATCGTTTCTTGGAAAATAATGCTAAAAACATGATTTCAAGTGTAATCCATAATTTAAACAATCACATATATATATATATATATATATATATATATATATATATATATACACACACACACATAACACAAAAAAATATTAACATTCTTATAACAAGTCTAATGAATGCAATTGAAGAGAACAAGAAAATTGATAGATTTTCATTTTACTTATACATTAGAAACTCAAGTCAAATTATTCTTGATATTAATTTTGAAAAATCACTGATGTCACTTATTGTTTTCATTGATAATTTTGCTGCACATTAATTTTCTACTTGCAACACACATAATCATATACTTCTTTCAGTTAAAGTATTCTGGCTTGGTGAAAAATAGACTTCAGGATATTTCAATTATTTCACTACTTTGTAATTTATTTGAGGTCCAGTTTTCATTTTCTGCCAGCAATTTACTTGTGATATGTCAATTAATTTCCCACTATTTTTTTCCTGCAAACATTCTAGTAGATGATGTAGAATTATATACAATTATACCACTTTTTCAATTGTAAAAAGTGTTAAAGAAAAAAAATTTGTGCCAAATTTAACAAATATTTAATTCTTTATAATTCATCAAAACATTCAATATCTTGTTTTTTTTTTATTATGAGAAATTTTACTTGAATAAAACCTTGTTATGCATTAAAAGGGCTAGTAGTCATAATATACTGAAATATTTAAAACAAAATTACTAGTTTATAAATACAACACCCCACTAGTTAATTTAAGAAGCCCTAGAGCAGGGGCGTCAAAACTTTTTTTTATCTAAGAGGGCCAGATTTGATGAGGTGAATATGTGTGAGAGCCAACCATTCTGCTTGGCATTCTGTGAACCATTATAATTAAATGCAAATGAAATATCTTATGAAAATTGCATATTTCCCTTTTTTCACATGAATGACAAATAAACTTTAATAGGTCTTACCAAAATCACTCAGCCTGTCATATCTGAAGCCCATATAAGATGAAATAAAATATGTCTGAGAAAAAAGAATTTCCAGGAAGTTATATCTCAGGTTAATTACATATTATTGGTAATTATTGTTGTTTGTCAACTTTTAAGTTAAAAACACATGAACACCAAAATTCATCTTATTAAGTAGAAAAAGTGACAAGTTCAAGTGTCCAAACATATTTAGAACTGATTTTGACCAACACAAAACAAATTTAATTCACTAAGATTTTAGGGCTTATTCATCTCAGACGACCAAAACAAATA